AAATAATATAATATGTTTATATTAGAAAATCTTACCTTGCTCTTCCCTCCATAGGTTGCCGTACTAAAATTTGAACAGGTCCTCTTGCTCTTGAATGTATCTTATCATCTACCATGTGCTTAAGACGTTGATAATAAGTCGGTCCTAAGAATACTTGAGCGTTAATTTTTCTTCCAGAAAAGCCATTGTACATAACTTCATTTCCTCGTAGCTGATAACCATATTCTTGTAATAGAGTTGAAATTTTTTGTACATTTACAGCATCATTAAATGGTGTAGCATCACCAATTTCTCCTTTATTAGCAGACACTTTCCCTTGTAAGCACTCAATTAAATGCCCAATTGTCATACGGGAAGGAATAGCGTGAGGATTAATAATAATATCAGGTGTGATGCCTTCACAAGTGAAAGGCATATCTTCCTGTCTGTATTGTATTCCACATGTTCCTTTTTGACCATGCCGGGAAGCAAATTTATCACCAATTTGAGGTATTCTTTCAGAGCGAACTCGAATCTTACAAAATTTATAACCTTCAGAGTTTAATGTTAATAAAACTTGATCGATGAGACCAGTTTCACTGTTTCTTAAGAATGTACTACAATCTCGTTTGGAATATTTTTTAGTAGTTCCTTCAAGTTCATCTTCATTATCAGGAAGTGTCATTGTTTTACCAATAATAACATCATCACCAGATACTCTGAGACCGGGAGATATTATACCGTCGTCATCTAACTTATCATAAATAGCATTTCTCATTCCTTGACATGATTGGCGATTTGGTTTTTCAAATACCTCTTCTTGATCTCCAATTCGTTTTGATTCAGAGTCTTTATAAGAACGGAAAAAGACAGATCGGAAGAATCCTCTTTCTACTGCAGAAGCATTTAATATTACACTATCTTCCTGATTATAACCAGTATAACATAAAATTGCCACAATAGAGTTAATACCAGCTGGCAGTTCTCTGAAACGTAAATACTCCATAGACCTTGTTGTTACAAGAGGTTTATGTGGATAATAAAGAACATGAGCTAAGGTATCCATCCGAACATGAAAATTAGTTATGTAGACACCCATAGCTTGTTTACCCATAGCACTTTGGTATGTATTCCTAGGGCTCTGATTGTGATCAGGGAATGGAATGATAGACGCACAAACTCCCAATATCATAGCTGGATGAATTTCACAATGTGTATAAGTTGTACAATACGCATATTCTTTTTCTTGTCTTAAATCATCAGGTGACATAGCAATCATTGTAGTTTCTTCTTCCAAAGTATCAATATATTCGACAACACCATTAGATACGAGGACTTGCCATCCATAATTGTTATAATCACGCTCTTTTAAGCTGTCAATATGACGTTTTTTTAGTAATAATTTTCCATTTTCAACAATTAGCAATGGCCGACAAATTCGACCAGCATCTGTATAAATTCTAATTTCACGATCACGTATATCACGAATAATACTAACTTCACTTACAATGATGTCCATTTGACGTCGAAGCTTTCTCAAAGTACCCATAAGTTGTTCAGGATCACGATGAATACCAACCCAACATCCATTTACAAATATTTTAGTTGCATCTACAATTGCTGAAGGAGCAATTTCTTCCAAGTTTTCCATACTCCATTCTTCCAAAAATTCCAAAATTGGTGATGGCTGAGAACCAACAGATATATAAGCCATCAATGCAAGATTTTTTACCAAGCCAACAGCAGCTCCTTCTGGGGTTTCTGCCGGGCATAACATGCCCCATAGAGTATTGTGTAACTGCCTAGGTTTAGCTAATTTACCATCCCGCCCAATAGGGGAATTTACACGTCGTAAATGTGATAATGTTGAGGCAAATGTAAGTCTGTTTAACACCTGTGATACGCCAGCTCTTGCTTGATGGGCCTTCTTTTGATCGCCCCAATTTCCTGTAGCTAATGAATATCTTAGACCGTCAGTTATAAGTTTTGTTTTAATTGCTAGATCTAAATTAAAATCTTTTCCACGATCAATGAATTTTTGAGCATACATACGCACTTCTTTCATTAAATTTTTGAATAATCCTCTGAATAAAAATGCCAATAAAGGTCCAGCCAAATCCAAACGTTTGTTACCATAATGATCTCTGTCATCCAATTCACGTCTACCAAGTGAAGCTAAGAGAAGACGATGAACCATATATCCCAGGAAATATGCCTTTTTAGTTTCACAGAAATCTGATACTCCGACATGAGGTAACATTTCTTTTTGAAGGATTTCCCTAGCATACTTAATACGTTTATCTTTAGTTACTCCGGGTCTTGCTCCACGAGAACCAATAAAATTTAATGCTACATTTTGTTCTTGTATAACAAAAGCCTCATCTAGAGATGGTTTTACCATTTCCATCATTTCTGGGTCATCAAAATCATAAATGATATGTTCCAATATATCACGATCGGCTACGAATCCTAAAGCTCTAAACACAATCATAATGGGTATTTCTTGTTTAATATATGGCAAGATTGCAATTATCCTTTGGCCTATTGCGGACTTTTTTATACTTTGACCACCGCGAGCCATCATATTAACCCAGAGAGTAGAAGTCGGACGAGATGAATGTTCTAAACAAGATCTTATTTCAGCCTTAAACGCATATTTTCCATCTTTCATACTGAAAACATACACAGTATTTGTAGCCATTTTTTCCTGAGCGATTAATACTTTTTCGGATCCGTTAATAATGAAGTATCCACCAGGGTCTAACGGGCATTCATTTAATTCAGTCAAATCACGATCGTTTAATCCAAATAGTAGACAATATGTTGACCTTAACATTATTGGTATTTTACCTATAAATGATTTGGAATGTTGAGTAACAACTGGTTCTTCACCATCTTTAATCACGGTTTTCGTAATATCTACATAAAGTGGAGCAGAATATGTCAAATTACGTAATCTAGCTTCATTGGGCATCATAGGAGATGGAGAACCATCTTTTTCCCAATGAGTAGGTTTAGACAAGTAAATTTGTTCAAACTTAATTTGATACTTAGTAGGGGTATCAATTTCGCCGTGTGTATGTTGCGATTCAGCTTGTAACTCAATCTGAGGAGAGTCTTCTACAATACGCTGCACGGACATTTGAATAAATTCATCAAACGAGTCCAACTGCTGCCTTACCAGACCCTTTTCGTCGAAATAAGAATTGATCACTATCCAACAAGCTTCTTGCCAGAGTTCGCTTGAAATGTCTTCGGTCTCCTCTTCTTCCTCATACTCATCGTCACCCAAGTCGTACATGATTTTTGTTAAGATACTCTACCTTTCTTTTATTTAATTAAAAACTATTCAGTATTAAGTGAAACAATTACAACACGCTTAGCACTTTACCGTTTGAAAACAATCAACAATAATTATAAAACATTTTACATACAGTATTCAGTAATCAGTATAATACAACTAAATATTAATCATATTCACTACTATCAAAATCCAAGAGGAAAATGTAAAAAATTCCAAAGAGGATATATATATTTTATAGGTTAGAATGGTTAGATTAACGGATATGAGAAAAAAAGCGGCAAAATTTGAAAAATCTAACAAGGCATTTACGTCGTACAGTATACACGTTTAATAGATTCAATAAATTAACAAGGATTAAGATTACATTTGTTTTATGATCAACTTTATTGTTTTAAAGCTAGTTGAAAATACTTAAATAAACCAAACTATTTTTCTAATCCAATTAGTAACGATCTATCCTGAATTTCCTGTTTTCTTAATTCAATATTTCAATATACCTAACATTATTAATATTAAATATTTAAAAATACTGAAAATGAAAATATTTTGAGAGATTTTAAATTAAATAATTTAATAAAAATAAATATTCAGTGATTATTAGTAAAAGGCGTTATAATTTGTTAAAGACACAATCTTGGAAATATTTAAACTTTGTTTTATAATTAGATGCAACAATTAAAATATTGAATTTGAATTCAAAAGATTAGAATATTAATTGAGAAAATTTAAATTTTGTACTAAAATAAAAATTGATTAATATAACCTGAAAGTCTCTAGGGCACAAGCAAGTCAAACGTAGATTTTGGGCGGCATGCAATTTTAAAGAAATTGAAGGTGGCAAAATTAAATAAATACAGGTAAAGAAGAGCAACTTTAGGGAGGAAAATATCTAACTGCCCTGGGTATGACTACTAATTAGAACCCTTGTTTCAAATATTTTGAATTGAACATTTTATACAAAATTATGTACATTTTCATGATTTTGAAAAATATTGTCATGTATGTGCACTAGCTAGTGTCGTAAGTGTTCTACCATCATTTTTGTGATCTACCTACATCTCGCTACACAATATTATGACAATCACGTGATTAAGTTATTGTATAGAATGTTGATTATAATTGAACAATACCCGTTTGTCAATAAATATTATGATTTGACAAAAACATGTATTAACATATTACAACTTTTGTGAATTAAAAAGTATTAGTTTCTTTTAAATATAGGTTTTAATATACATAATATATATACATGTATACCTTCAATATTACTCACAACTCTGTTTATAGATTTGTATAAGATACTTGTATTCCTATCCAGCCAATTTAAATATATTATGTATATATATATTTTAAACTACTATTTTACTGAAAAGGTTGTTAGTCAATAATTGAGATTATTATGTTAATCATTAATAAATATAATTTATTAAACAATCAAACTTGATTAGGACACCATTTTCTACCATTCCCTATACATTTACTATACTAGTCGATGCCCGTATAAAAAGCTCTTTTCAGCTGGCCCCTTGAAGAGCTTCTTAAGCGGGTTTTACTGTATATTGTTCTTCAAAATTAATTTGGCCAAATTATGGAAGAAACTAATAGATAAAAGTTATACATTGAATAATGATGCCTATCACTTTTACCATTGATATTCAATTTTATATGATGGTAAGCTTTAGAAATATATATGAATTTTTATTACCATCAAAATTTCTTACCTTTGATTTTGAGGCATATACAATACACTGTCCACAGGAGAATCTACGGTTAACTTTAAATGAAACATCGGAGGCGGTATTATAACTTGTTTAAAAGGTGTTAATAATACTGAAGCTGAAAAACAAATGGGAAATAATTAATGAGAAAATTCCAACAATCAAGTAACAAAATAATATTCTTACAGCAATCTATGACAGCAACCCAGTCTAGAGTTCCTGGACTTGAAGTACACAAAGTTTCAGCCCAATATAGTGTATAGTAACTACCATTGTCAGTAATTAATTGTAAACTATTGTCTAACAACCATTTTGCAGTAATTATTTTGTTTTCAATTGTCATCCATTTTTTAATCTGCCACGCATAATTAGTGCACGACAAAAATAATAAATAATTACTATTAGAATCAGCACACTGAATACACAATATCGAAGAATCATGGTTCCACAACAACTGTTTTACCTGATATTTGTAAAGCAATAAAACAATATTAATTATCATAATAAGAGTAAATTAAAATAGTCTAAATGTTAACTAACATTGATAGTAGATGGAATTTCAAAGTCTCCATGTTTGAGTCCATTTTTTTCCATAAAACTAATGAAATATTTTTCATTCGCATGTTGGGAAAATGATATAAGTTCTTTGGTAGTTTTCCAACTCAATACAGCTTCTACTCCTAAAGCACAACAACAATAAAAATGAAAACAAGGTTTGAATTATCTCTTAATTATAATAGTAGGGTATTCTACCTGGAAGAGGTTCACTTATGTACTGTAAAATTCCATCTCTGTTAAATATTTTAATAGATCTCAAATTAGATACTTTATCAAGAAATCCAATTGCAAACAATAAACTGTCAGATCTCCAGCAGATATTTATAGAATCGTCAGAAATGTTTTCGTCTCCAATGACTTCCTTCACAACTCTTTTGGATTTCCCTTCTGATCCATGAAACTGCGTTTCTTTTTTTCCCCAGCCAACATTTACCAATAATTTTTCTGACAGTTCAACCTCGATAATGTTGAAATCATTCAATGGTTCAAAACACTCGGTGACTAGTGTAATTTTTCCTTGGCTGGTCAACAGAATGATGCGTTCAAAGTCAGGACTACACAGTATGTTGGAGATTAAGTCTTCACATTTAAATGCAATTTCTACAATATTTTCTTGTATCAATAGTACATCGCCATTTGAACAACCGACCACAAAGGAATCCCATGGCTCGTAGTACGCATAAGACGTGATATTGATGCTGTCGCATTCCGGGGTGATGTACACATCTGTCAAAGATAGGTCCACTACCAGACGAGGTGTATCGTTTAAGTTTAAACGCCAAATGGAGCTATTGGTCGAGTAACATAGCTCACCGTTGGCAATTATCTGAACCAATTTAGCGTCTTTTAACTGTTCAACATGTGTCACCACCGACTTGTGCAGCTTAAGATTTTTCATGGTGAACGTGTATTGGAATTTTCAATTTTTAGCACTATAAAAAATTTTAATTTAGAATTATTCAAACCAAAAATACTGAATCTGAAATGTCTTATCACACATCCCGTACACGTGAATAATAATAATATTATGAATTGTATATTATCAGTTCTATGGAAGTAACTCTATGATTAGCCGATCAAAGACTATGGAAGTGGTGATAGCGTAGTATTACCATTGATAAGACGTGAAACGTACTTTTACTTCTTAGTTCTTCCATCGATTGTAATGTGTGTTGTGCTGTTGTGTTGAACGGTTGTTTTTTTCGATTCAATTCGAAGAAGTTATTTTTGTTTTCAAATTTTTAGAACACCGCAATATATTATAGCAAATCTTTTATTTTCCGACGGTGCTGTAAAACCAGATCGTAGGTCCACTTTCTAAAATATGGACAAGAACAACTATACAACCAAGAATGACACTGTAGATTCTGAACAACTGTTTTTTAAGATCAATAACAAACAAGTTGTGTTTAAAACGGACAAGCGAACTGTTGAGAAACTAGACGATGGTATGTTCAGAAATGTGTATAAAATAATTTTTATTGACATTTATTTTCAAATTTTGGAACAACACTGATACTTGATGTCTTTCAGAATGTTCCTCGTATAATTGTATAACCCCGTGTATGTGAAGTCTTTAGTATTTTTGATTAAAACATTAATGGCAAATTTTGATATAATTGCAGTCTTGTAAAGAATACTTTTATTTTGTATTCGAAATACATATTCGAATAAATGAGAATTAATTTATTCAGAATACGTATTGGAATAGTTCTTAAAAAATATATTCAGAATACATATTCGAATACTATTAGAATACTTTTTTTCACGAATAATTGTTGTCAGTTTTTGAATGGTTGGTAATTACTAATTAACTTTATAAATTTTGACCACATATGATACGGCCGATACGAACTATACGTGATAAAATACATTGGTATTTATAAAAATAATCATATCATGGGCCAAAATTATATTTCTTTCAAAGAATAATATTAATTTTCATGATTTATAATATGTCTTGTCTCAAATTTAAAACTATTTTACTGGATCGGAAAAAGTATTTTTTTAATGAATAAAAAATACAAATAAAAGTATTCAGAATACGTATTCGAATACTTTAAAAACAAAGTATTTAGAATAGTATTCGAATACAAAAAGAGTATTCAAATACTTTTATTCGAATACTTTACAAGACTGTATAATTGTTAGGTCATACCATTTTATATTTAAAAAAAAAATCAATAATAACTACTTATATGGATAAATATTATATTTAATATCAATAAAATACATGCCGTATGTACTGTGGGTTATATTATGGTGTTATCTATTTATATTTAGGTCTATACAGCTAAAATATATACCTAATCACGGTCTTGTAAAACAGACTATTCCTATTGCCTTATATTAATATTAAAATTTAAGGAATATTTGAAGTAGGTATAACTTTTTTTAAAACAATATATTGAAACTTAGAATATATAAGGTAGTAATTATACTGAAAAAGATATTCCTTTAAATACAAAAGAAGAATAATTAGCATTCATATGAAAGTCTTACTTGAATATTTATTAAATAATTGAGCAATTTGATATTTATTTTTATTTCAATTTTAAAATTATATGTTATTATTAAATGACATTATTCTATTGCATTTTTAGAAGAGGTGCTGATGAACTATGTTAAAGCTATTATTAATTCAAGAATGTTAATGACAAATGGTCGGAATTTAATCAACTATCCAGTGAATATTACAAGAACCGATGATTTGGATACATCTAGTTCATTTATTGAACTGGAAGTTTCTACTATTGTACAAGATGACGGTGTTGAAGAACTTCATTGTGCTCTTTTAAATGAGTATGTATTGTTTTGTTTATTAGGTATCTATATTAAATTAATAAACGTATACACTTATTATTGTATAATAAAATAATATTTTAAATTTATTCCACATTATTGAAGTAGAACAAATTTGAAAAAAAGAGCGTGTATACTAAAATTATATATTTTAATTTTTAGCGGAACCTTGAATGAAATCAAATCTTCTGTTGAACTTAAATCTGTTATTGTAAATCAAAATGCTGCAGAAATAAGTCCATGGAACGATTCATCAATAAATGAAACTTACATTCATGATAGTAATAGTAAGTTAATTTTGTTTTCCACCCTGCTCTATTTTTTATGTAATTTAATTTACATAATAATATAATTTACTTAAATTATGATTTATTTTTGAATTGTTACTTTTGTAATTTAGTGCCAGCTTTAAAATGGTCTACAGAAATGACATCATTATTGATTGCTTTGCGTGGCAGTCTTAATATAGAATTTAACTCTTCCAAATATAAATTTAAATTGTGGGAACTGATTGCACGACGGATGAGTAGTAGCATGCCCTCAATAAAAGTGACAGCTAAAGATTGCGATGATAAGTGGAGGAATATAGCAGCTACATACCGTAAAAATATTGAAAGAATTAAATATATGGGAGATTTTAGTGTACGGTGGGAACATTTTTCTGCTATGGATGAAATTCTTAGAGGTACTGATGAATTAAAAATACCAGACTCCTATATTGAGGTGGATAAGATGATTGATCCTGTAAATAAAATTTCTGAAGCTGCCACTGATATTGATGCAGAAGAGTATGTACATTATTTTATAATTACTACTCACAGACAACAGTGTTGTAAAGTAGGTATTTAAATAACAGCATTTTTTTTTTTAAATATTCAACTGACCATTTGAGATAGAAAAAATTATTTAATTCAAATTAGTAATCTCTGAAAATTTGATTATGTGTTTAAATAATTTTAAACATGTTTACAACACTGGTTATTATGAATAAAGATTTGAAAGAAATGAGTACTATAGTATACATTTGTTTCCAGTGCTAAAGAAGACATAAATACAGAGGCCAATGAGGATATGGATTATTTCTTTTTGACTTCAACAACTAATGCAAACAATGGTATGTTTGATTAAGTATTAATTTACATACAATAATTTTAAAATATATTTTTATTATTATTACTTATTTTAGAAATTACGTCATAATTTATTCGATTATTAATGAATATTGTGGTTTCTAATTAAATAATACAATATTAGATTTAGAGTAGATATGTTGATTTTTTACAGAAATACGATTATGGACCCAAGAAATGATACTTCTTTTGTTTTCACTACGACGTTCTATGGCAGATCGTTTTGACCATGCAACCAAAGAAGCAGAAAAAGATCTGTTATGGTATGAATTAGTTACAAAAATGAATAAGAGTCTTAGTGGAAATGCTGACATTGAATCATACGAAGCAGAATCATTATGGAACCAATGTGTAGAACAGTATGAAGAAAATTTAGATAAATTAAAGGCTGAAGGACCTCAAAATGTAAAATGGCCTTACTTTGCCATTATGGATCAAATGTTAGGGGGTACAATAGAAATACCAGATGTTTGTCATCCGCGTCCTGGTGAAGATTTGGTACCTGTTTTTATGCAGGGTGTTTGGAAACAGTCTGAAGTACGAGAAATATTAAACAATTACAAAGTTGATACTGAGTAAGTTGAAGTATTAAAATATATAAAATAAAATAAATATTTACAATTATGTTAATAATTTCAGTGTGGATATCGATGAAGACTCCGATGCCAGTGAAGAAAGTGTTGTAGAAACTAAAGCCGGAGTAAAGTGGCATCCAGAATTAACCCGCAAGTTAATACACTTACGCTCTGATGCAGAAAATGAAGTGAAAAAATGGATCCGTAAACCAAATTCAATTTGGACTGTAGTTTTAAAGAAATTCCGTCGTATCGGCATGGTTTTGCTAACTGAACAAGATCTAGAGAACAAATGGAATAGTTTAGTAAGAGCATATAACCGCAGAGTGGCTGGTATCAGTAAAAAGCCCAAAACCCATTGGCCGTATTTCTATGGGATACAAAGTGTGATGAGTAGCATTATTGAAAATGAAAGTGCTCGTTCTCTAACACATACACATGATGACGGCAAGTCAGATCAACCACCTGAATGGTTCATTAGTTATATGAAAAGAAAAGAAGCTAGTGATGCATACAAACACGAACAGTTGAGAAATATGCTAGTTGACATACAACACAGTCAAATAGAAAACAGAAGATTAATACTTTCTATTTTTAAGAAGTTATAATAAATATCCTAGTCAAGTATGATTATTTTACGTGAATGTGATTATAGAAACATATATTCTTGTAAATATATTATATTTATTGTTATATAAGGCTGAAAGCTTAAATTAAAAGAAATAATGACTTATTTTTTTACAAATTTATAGATAAAAATGTATTTCTAAAACATAACTTAAAGTGAAAAAAATGTATAACTTTGTATCTCATATTTTATCAAAGGATGATTTTTATTGTTTTTAGTTAAGTTTAGTTAATAATGTCACTATTATAGTTTGTAACATACTATTAATTTTGTTAAAATTTGAAACTTGTATTAAAAAAAATATTGTTCACAATTTTGTTTTTTAGACTTAAAATTCTCTTAATTTATTTTAAGAGAAAAACAAATGATATTGATATAAAAACTGTTAGTTACTATTTTTACATCAGACCAGGGTGGCAGAGTAAGTAGTATTCCGAATAAAGTATTTTAAATACTTTAAAAGTATTCTAATTACTTCTAAAGTACTTTTTATTTTTTGTTTTAAATATTAAATCAATGATACTTTTCTTCGAGAAATTTGAAATTAGTGTCAACATGAATCATTTAATAATTGTAATATAATATAATTTGGCTTGATTTAGAATTTTATAATGTGTTTAATATTGTAAACATTTCCAGAAATACAAGGAAAACAATTGCTTTTGTAAATAAAAATTATTTTTATGTAGGAAAAAAATAGTTATTCAGAATAAATTGGGGAAAAATATTTTAAAAGTATTTGGAATACTATACTCAAGGCTGTTTGACATAATGTTTAAAAAAAAATAGAACTTAGATTTTTATGTTCAAAGTTCAATTCAGGGCGGGTCTAACCATTAATCTCTTTTCTATGGTTCAACTATTTTAAGTTATTCATATTATTCATATCTTTTTATAAAAATTACTAAAAATAGAAAATGTTTTGATACTTACTATACAAGTCACAGTTCGTCGATAAAAAATAATCAAATGAATATTTATAATTGTAGTTAATACTAAAATAGTTGAATGAATCCAAATGTTAATACTATGCAGTGTTTTTAATTCTTTATTATATAATACTAAGTGGAGCTGTCCTCTACTCAATTTGCTCACCAACCCATTAGTTGGTGTGGTAAAGTCCTTCCTGTCATCACACTTTTCCACTCTTGAAATGTAAAATACTTAAAAATAAAATTTAAAAAACATTTTAATAATAGAGAATTTTAACTCTTAATCAGTTGCGTAATTTCAGTTTTTGAGAAGGGGCAAAATTTTAACAGGCATATAATAAAACTGAAAAAAAAACCACTCGCTAACAATTACATTACATTGTCATTGCATTTTTATCTCAATACAAATAGCCTTACTAGCCCATCATTTTATACTTACTAGTCATTAGTTAGTATCATAAGTTACTATATCATAGCCCATATGCATAAATAACCAATTTTTTAGAGAAAACAATGACTAAATAATTAATACATAATACGTAGAGGGATATCTAAATAATATATTACCTATATTAACTACTACATGAACTATGAAGGCCCAAAACTAGCCCATACCCGGCCCACCAGCGGACCGCTTATGAGAAGGAGAGGCAAATGCCCACCCTGCCTCCTCCAAATGACGGCACTACTTTTGATAATTAATGAATAATAACAGTTATTATTAATTTAATATTTATCTATATTCTTAACTATTAATTGAGCAATAAATGTGTGTGCATGGTCTGTAAAATGTATTTGCTGCAGTCAAATCTGATTTTAAAACCAAAAAACCATAATACCTATTAAGTTCAGAAATGAATGATTAATAAGGGGTTACTAGAATAGTGAAATCAAAATCGAATTCAAATAAAATTAAATACCTAGTAGTGTCTAATACGATTTTATAGCCATACGGCGGCCGACCAAAACACGTATTTTTTCGCGCATCCCTACCACTTTACCAGCACGATCTCCACCGGTCGGCTTGTTCCGGAGCTCACCGGTTTCGTCGGCAGGTGTGTACACTGCGATCACAATAACAAACATAATTTCCAAAACGTCGTTTGTCGTTTACCGATTCTCGTTTATGAACAACGCGCGCGCCGTATTTTTTTTTCACTAAACCGATTTTACATTTTTTACTCTTTCAATACAATGGACGAAGACAGTGGAAGTGGAACCATCAACATTTCACCGATGAAAAGAAATCCTCGTGGAACCGCTGTATGCAGTGACCAGTTGCCGCATGGTGGGGACTTTTGGCCTCGAGACAGCGGAGCGCAGTCATTTGTATGCGCGTGCCGTATGCATTCTCTCGTGGCGCGGAGTATATCCGACAATATCATTTTGAAAGTTTAAATTGTTTAAAATGTTCGAATTATTTCATTGAACAAATCTTAGTTCGTGATAACAAGTAACGTGTTATCATATTGTTATTATCACGGATTATAGAAAACTGTGGTATAGGATATTATTGGTCCGTGGTGGTATCCATGGTTCACGGTATTATCAAAATATGAATGTTTAATGTTTATTATCTATAAATCTGCAGAGTGTGTGGACCGGAATTTATTATTTAATAATTCACATTATTGTCAAGTAAACTGTAACTACTAATTTTGTAAGTGTTGACACAGTGTTTCGTCTCTGTTCTATGGTTGATACTTTCGAGTAGTGCTACTGTGTGCTAGTGAGTGCTACTTATGCTTTATCGGTAAAATAAATTAAAAACAAAATCAAGTTCGATAAATTATCAACCATCACATTTATTCTAAAGTTGAAAAGTAAGAAAAAACTATCCACATTTACCTGTTCAACTAGTGGGCTCTTCCGTAACTGTCTTAACATACTTATAACAACAATAAAATGGTGACTTCTATTACTTCAGAAACAGAATTTGACGCCTTAAAGTATGTACACATATCTTATTTATTGTATATATAAATCAACGGGTTTAAACACCCTTTTCAATGAATATAATATATAATATGAGTTATAAGGTAAAAATTAGACATTTGGTATATAGGTAAACAAGGGTGAAAATAATAATAATAAGAACACAGTTTAATAATATATAATATTATATACCTAGTGTTTCTTTATTCATTAAAAATCTTTGGATTTTTTTATGGAGAATTAATGAAATTAATACAGTATTTCATGGTTTTCAGATCAAATGGGTTGTCGGTTATTCATTTCTATGCCGATTGGTCAGAACCATGCCAGCACATGAACAACATTCTTGCTGATTTAGTTTTAGAAGACGAGTTCCGGGTAACATTTTATGATAATATTTGTACGAATAAAACCAGTAAAACATCTTTGAATATTTCAGAACATTAAAATTGCTAAGTGTTTAGCTGAGGATTTTGCTGAAATATCTTTGAAATATAATGTGTCTGCTGTACCAAAATTTATACTGTTTCGTAATGGTGTTCAAGTTGATGTATTAGATGGTGCGGATCCAATACAGCTAAATAAAAAAATCCAAGCACTGGTACTTTTAAATTGATCAAAACGTAGCTAAAATGTAGACATTTTATATTTATTGTTTTTTTTACATGTTTAGCTAACTAAAGGTGACAAAACAGATCAAAAGGTGGAAGACATAAGTTTGAGACTGAAGTCATTAATAAATTCTGCTCCCGTCTTGCTTTTTATGAAAGGATCAAAGTCTGAGCCAAAATGTAAGTTCAGTACAGCAATTGTAAATTTACTTAAAGAAACTGGTGCCGAATTCAGTACATTTGATATACTGAAAGATCAAGTTGTTCGAGAAAAATTAAAAACATATTCCAATTGGCCGACATATCCTCAGGTAAATAAATTGAAGTTTTGTATGGGTAAATATTGTAATATTATTCTACAAAATATGTGTTTTTATAGCTTTATATCAATGGTGAATTAATTGGAGGATTAGATATTGTAAAGGAATTGATAGAGAATGGTGAGCTAAATGATCTATTAAAACTAAATAACAGTAAACCCAACCTCAATGACAGGTAAATTATTTTTCTTTCATAATTTTAAAAAAATGTATCTGCTTCTCGTGTTAAGTTAAAATATAATATTCTTTCTAAGGTTATTTTGAATTTTTTTTTGGGAAACATTTACTAGCGGGCCTTGGGAGTTAGACTAACTTGTATTCCGTGACTGTTAACTACATAATGATGTAAAACATAGGCGTGGGCCAGTTGGGCCGTTTCCCTCCAAGCGAGCTGTAACATATTTATTATATAGTTGGCAACTTAGATCATATACATAGTTGTATTGCCTTAGTCTGGGGTCTAAGCATTCTAATTTTTGATTTTTTTATATCAACAAAATTAACAAGATTCTCTTAAATCTATAAAATATGCAAACAAAAAATGGTTCTATTTAATCAAGGTTAAGGTAAATCGTGAACATATATCGCAACTTATCAATTCAGACTTAAGGAAAATAATATGCAAATGCAAATAAATCCTAGCCCTACTTATGAATAAAAATATATATATTACTATACTTTAAAATTTAAACAGTAGGTGATGACCGGTGAGTAAATTAATGTAATTTTATAGATAACTGTGTTTAAAATAATTTGTTTCAAATATCATTGGCCCACTCTGCCACAACGGGCTGCACACGCCTATGATGTAAAATAAATAATAATAAAACATTTGTAACTAATGACAATCATTTATAATAATAATAATAATATTAATAATATTTATTTTTCATGTATTTATAATCTGAATATAATCTTATTATTTATAATAAGAATAATGTGAAAAATATATTCATTTTATTAACGAAACTCTTTTAGGTTATTATTTTTTTTGCTGTAAAATTATTTATATTTGAATATATTAAACAGTCAAGTTAACTTACTTCAATTACATGCTCGGACATTTTTTATGATATAATTATTAACTATAATGGATTAGGTATACCTAACTACAATTAATATTTTTAAAATTTGGGTTCAATTTTTTTTTTTAGGCTTAAAGCACTTACACATAAATCTGATGTTATGGCATTTATTAAAGGTAATAAACAAGTTGCTCGCTGTGGATTTAGCAATCAGTTGATCAAAATATTAAACCAAACAGGGTAAGAAAAAAAATAAAGTGTTATTACTTATTTATAATTATATTCTATTCACAATAAGAAATGCTAACAGTGGCCGACTTATGAGCAGGGGCGTGGGAATACTACACAACAGGTATATAGATTGATGACTGTGGGGTGACAAACAGGTGTAACCTGACTGCCACCGACGAAAACTGGTCACCGCTGTTTGTATTTTTTATTGTACAGTTTAATTATAATTAATGTATAATTTTGTAAAAATAGTATTAGGTTATTACTTATTATTAATATAAAATTATTTCCAATAGTATTGATTATGAAACGTTTGACATTTTGTCTGATGAAGAAGTTCGACAAGGATTAAAAGTTTATTCTGATTGGCCAACATACCCACAAGTTTACGTAAAAGGATCATTGATTGGAGGTTTGGATATAATTAAAGAACTGGAAGAAGCTGGAGAGTTGATTTCTACTCTGAAGGGTACTCCCACTTTCGTATAGAAAAACAAAAAATAGTTTGGTTACTTTTTTTGTCAATCGATTATTTGATTGATGTAGTTTAATTTAATTTGGCATAGAAATATCAAAATGAACAGGACTGCAGCTATAAGGAAAATATTGTAATAGTATTTCAAATATTTACAAAATTATATGATGTGTATTTACTATTAATAAAGTTATTTAATGCCAAATTTAATCTTTTAATTTATTACCAAACGTTATTAAGTTAACAATATATTAATTTATTTGACCCAATTTTAATATGCTTAAACATTGTTTCATAAAAATAAGATAGTTATTGATCTCGGAGAAGTTTTTGATGTCATAAAAAGTTATTCTCATCAACAGACGTATGAATAATCATTCATCAGGTTTTCATTTGCTTCTTGTTCGTTATCGTCATCGTGTACAATGTACATCCCTACCGAATAATAATGAAGTGTGCCAAATGCAGTGGAATTCCGACTGTACAAAGTTATATATAATAGACGACAAAATTAAAAACCATAAAGACCATAGATGTAGTGAATGTTAACGAAGAAAACGACAAATTTTAGTAACTGGTTAACATATTATTTCAACTTTTAATTAGGTACACCTAATTTATTACTTATAATATTCATCGGTACATTTATATACATATTACCAAAAACCTATTTGCTTGAAACTTTTGGATTTATGTAGTTTGGTTTATTGAAAACGATAGTGAAGTCAGAATTTAGAGTTCTGACTAATTTTTTGAATTTCTACAGAAATCAGTATATAGTTATAAAATTAAAAAATATATGTTATTTTAAATGACTTAATATTACTATCAAAGCACGTTGCCACGTTGGTTGTCGTAACATAATGCTGATGCATACCTGTCGCAGTGTCACATAATATAGAAGACATTTTAGAGATTCAAAATTATTTAACTCCGTTTTGTGTTAAATTGCTTAAGAAAAAAAAATACCAAGTAATTTCGAGAAAAAAACTAGTTCGTTATGTAATATATTTTATTTGTATGTTCACAATTTATTCGTCTTTTTCACCCAAGTAATTATTATAATCGCAATTAGTGTGGGGGGGGGGTGGTATCACCCTCAAAACTCCCCCCTAAATTAAATTATTCAATTGTTTCCAAAAATATTAATAAATAAACCTTTTAAAATTCAACTGTAATTCTTAATTTTTATTTAAATCTTATAATTATTTTATGTTGCCTTTGATAAATTTGGTAAAATAAATATCATCATTAGCTGTATGCTTTTTTTTAGTTTTTATGAAAGCAATTTTTGTCGGTACATTGGAAATTATACATAATTTTACAATAAATGGACTGAACTCAACTATTATAAACGGACAGTACCTATATTATATTGTTGTGAAATATTTAACTTTAGTTGGTAAATGAAAATTTGTTTTTGAAACGAAGTCTTTTATGGCACGATGCGGGGGCTAGCCGGAAAAAAACGTTCCTGACGAAATACCATAATTTATAATAAATTAAACAGTTATTTTAGAGAAAACATCCAAACACTGATCGATCGATCTATAATAATGCGATAATACTTTTTAAAAAAGATTTGAATTCGTTATTATGTCTACTTGAGATTGGTCAATAATAGGTACAAAATATCAATTTCTGTAGGTATAGGTACCGACGTGTTTAAACAAACAGCTCGGACTTAACCATATTATTATATATTCTGCCGCAACCTGGAATTATTTGTAGGCAATTTAATATGATATCAATATTTGTAATTTTACAATTTATATTATGTATTTAAATCGTTTCTGAAAAAAAAAACTAGATTTTTTAAAAATGACTCAATTATGTTAAAATATAAATATAAAAGAAAGAAATTAATTATTATATATAATATATTAGTCTTTCGATTGATAAAGATTTTTATTTTTGTAAATATCGCTTAGCATAAAACTTTATAGTGTTGTACTTCACTCAGACTTAGGTATATTATACCCACCGACACACTATTAGTTATAGCTTGAAGGAGAGTTATCACTACAATTTATTTTACTATAATAATATATAGGTATTGTATGTGTATCGTTTATATGCAATTATTTGTTTGCTAAATACCTAAGTAATATAATACTATTATATGCTTAATTATTATGGTATTATTGGTGTATTGTTTTGGGTGTTCGCGTAGGTAACAATACTTAAAGGACTAATTAATATGCACATTGTTGATCGCCGCACAAAAGGACATAATGATATGAAGAAAAATAATATCGGCAAACCTAGGATCCATTTCTTCGATATTTTATAAATTAATATATTTAAACATGGTGGATAATAAATACCACAAGAAATTATTAATAACTATTCCAAGTTCTAACTGCAGATATTAATCGATAGGTTCGAAAAAATCAGCAATGATAACGAAGAATATTATACTTGACACCTCGTAAAAGTACCAATTAAATGCAAATGCTTTTAGAAATCGGCCAAAAACTCCAAGTCCGAAGCAATTTTGCTACTTTAAAAAAAAAACACACGTCTTTGTAAAACCATAATATATTGATACATTCATCGTTCCGCCCAGCGAATGTAAAAGACTTGGCCTAAAAGTATTAGACGAGCACAAATACAATATTCGAAACACGAATCCTCGTTAAAACAATATTATATAATATTATAATAATTATTATATTACAACCTAACCCTTAGGCATAAGTACGTATGGATGGTAATGATGTTTGGGAAAATAAACCGTTAAACTCATCTGAAGTCTTATTCGCGCTGGCCAGCAATAAACGACGTCGTAACCGTCGTCCGGGCAATGTTTGTATTTTTCGGTGACTGTTTAACTAGAAATCGTTTTATTATAGCTCACTTACTATTTTGTCTCCGACCGTTCCTATACCAAAGTTCAATAAATAAGCACCATGGACACATTCATCGACAAAATAAAAAATGAAATTTACGATCTGCTCCGGTCGATCGACGAAATTGTAGTCGACGACCAAAATGTCAACATATATTTAAAAATCAGAAGACGGATTTATCGCGACGTCGACGCCCTCTTGGGAGAGATCGTCGAGGCGGTGTGCGGCGATGTCGAGGCGGTGTGCGGCGATGTCGCGGACGACGTCGTGAGCGTCCTTTTGGACGAAATTGTCGGAGTCGTGTGCGAGGAAGCAGCGGAAGAAGTTATAATAAAGGAAGACGACGAGACACCGGCCGAGGGCAAAGCGAGGGAAGCGGAGGACACGGATGAAATCGACACCGAAGAAGCACCAACGGCAGAAGAAGACCGCTTCACACCTGCACCACGCGGACGCGCCAGGCGTTTAATGGCCGCCACGTGGAAAGGTGTGAGGCGGGTCACCCGCCTGATGTCGTGTGGATGCTTCGGAGGAAGGTGAAGTCCACCCTTCCCTCCTCCTCGGGCCGAGGAACACCAGACAAGACGGCGGCGAATAGGGGGATTGGTACGTGACAGAGCACTTTGCGGTGTACGGCGGTAAGTCGCCCTGTACGTTTTCCGCGGTCACCCGCGGAAAGACGAGATCGCAGTCGCCAGCGTCGCGCGCTCGCGGTTGCCGACACGCGAGACCATCGTGACGACTCGGCCGCTTTGGTCACACCAGGAGCCGATGGACGACGACGACGGCGGTGGCTATAGCTGTACCGGTTCGGGCAACGATACCGTCCCGCCGGTACCACGACGGTGCAGGCAGAGTGCACGGAGGCGACCAGCAAAGGCGGCGGCGGCGGGAACTGCAAAACACAACGGGCGAGCGAACGCGGCTGAGCTAGGAATACAAGGAAGTCAGCATCGCCGGACTCGTGGAAACGGATAACGTTTCAGGGCACGGCGATGCGCGACTCCGGGACGGCCACCGGATGGTGACTCGGTCGAGTCAGGGCGAAAATCACGCGGACAGGACCTCTGTGGTCCTCCCCCGTTTTCGCCCAGTGGCAATCGGTCGGGTTACGTCTCCGGTCGCCGGCCGATTCCGTAGCACCGACAGCTATGCCTTTGCTCGCCCAGTGTTTTAGGTTTCCGTCGCCGTCGCCACTCGCATCAGTCGTCTCCAGTACCTGCACATCGTCGATGCGCACATCATCGTGCACTAGCCACTCGCCGTCAAATCGTCTCATTGCTCCCGTGGCCGTCGCGGTCGGGACTTCGTCAGCCGTCGCGATGGTCGTCACCCGCGAGCAAACGCGCTGGCGACTGCACTCGTCCTCCCGCGGGATGTGCCGCGAAAACGTACAGAGGTGACCAGTGGCCAGCTATTATTGCTATATGCACCTCGCCATCACGTACCACTCCCCCTTGCTTATTGTGTCTTGTCTGGTGTTCTTTTTTTCATTAGGCCACTTTGAGCCGGTTATAAAGAAAAATACGAAAAACACAAAAAAACTATTAAGATATAAGAAAATTAAAAAAAAAATTAGAAGATATAAAGAAAATCAAAAAAAAAAAATACAAGATATAAAAAAACTATTAAGATATAAAGAAAAAAAAAATTACAAGATATAAAAAAAAAATACTTTTGATTGATGTACTTAAACTATAATACATTTTGTGTAAAATTACATTTATTTTGTTGAGTACACAATAAAATTGTCTATACAAAAATAAAATGTTGTTTCTTTTTTTACGTATTAGAGTGTATTTGTATATTAACTATTTATTTCAACAGAATAATGGGCTCCACTGAACAAGCTCCTGTGAGGGCTCATGCAAAGTAAAATAAGTAATAACTACCTACTATAGCAATGTTTTTGTCACGCATCAAATATATCAATAAAATATTATAACAATGATAGGTATTTTTGGTCAGGTGAATGTAATATAATAATTAATAGATAACTAGGGACTTTAAACTTTAAATTATATTATACATTTTACTGTACGCAATGGAAATTTTAAAAATAGTAATACTACTTAATACCCTTGACCCCATAAAGTAGGTAACAACTATAGTTCCTACCAAATAACAGAAAAGATGCTGATGTAAAATACTAAAATATCAAAGCATTTTTACTACTCCAAAAGGTGATGACAGACGCAAATAATATAAAAAAAAGCTGGTTAGTGGATGTCGCTCTGCTGTACAGTTGGGTACAAGTGGCCCGAGTGGGTTAATGTAATGAAATTTGAATTCAATGATAAAAATTATTGTATACGAACAACGATTCTGAGCGAAGACCGACTTTCAGCCAATAACATTACTAAGTAGTAAGTAGGCATATTTTATTATATTATTGTGATTAATTTTAGTATTAGACGTTAGTAGGCATCTACTAAAGTAGGTTAAATTCATTTTTGCCAAAAAATCACATTTGAAAATGTCATTGTGTAGACTTATAAAATATAATATTATACTCTAAAAGTTTCATATACCTACCCACAAATAATATTTTTAAATCACAACAAAATAACTAAAAACTTTATTCTTGGTTTTAATACCCATGAAATTTCCTAAAAGAACGAATGTACGAGGTCGATGACGGCAATCATTACAACTGTTTATGAGAATATATTTTGTTTTAATCTTTAAATCCTTAGCTATAAAAATTTAACATTTTATAATTGTTTAGTTACAATAATTGATAATTTTCGAGATTTTGATAAATTTAGTCAAAATATGAACTTTAAATAGGTACTTATCAAAAAAATTTTACCTATATGGATTTTTAATGAGTATTTATTAACTGCTATCATAACAACTTTTAAGAAATCTTGTTTAAATTTTCAAGCTTTTTAACCCAACGAATAAAATTGTATCTACATCTATAGAATAAAAAGATAGACACATAAGAGTTACTCTAAAAAACAAAATCGAGTTTTTTCTAAAACCATGCGTAAAAATCTCAGTTTTTTCTTAACTTTTTGTTTGTTTTTCCTGACGACTTTGAAAACTTTTGGGAACTTTTGTCCTCCCCAAAGTACCAACTAGATTCACTTTCTTGCCAGAGAAGATCATGTTGAAGAAAATGTAAGCATTATTTTTAATGTCCCAAAATGTGATGACAGACACAAATAAAAAAAAAAAAAAACATTGTAAAATCAATAGGTACATCATTGCTTCGCTCAAAATCTAAAATGTTGATGTTCTCATAAACAATATATATTGTTTCTTTTTTTTCGTATTGAGTATTAAGAGTGTATTTTTATTTTTATTTATTTCAACGGAACAATGGGTGCCACTGAACATGTTAGGCCGTTAGCGCCTACATTGTGGGTGTGTAGGTACAATGGTACATGTAAAGTAAGAATACCGATGAAACCTAGGTTTTAACAGTAAATGACTGCTGTATACTTCACAGGTTCCTGTTGTGGGGATGGATATTATAGTTATCAAACGCGATCTAGTCAATGACCATTATTGTGATTATAGGCGTGATTTAGAATATCAATATATACCTATATTAATTGTAAAATCAAATTCAACCTTGGTAAAACAGTCGGCGTCCATTCAATGTATTCGCTCTTGGAAGGCAGTTTAACTCCTCTACTTAATTTTTCCCAATTCGAGCACTGAATACTATTTATAGTCTATATAATGTATTTTAAAATTTCAAATATAACACTGTGCACATGTTTTTTGATATATTTTAATTAATTCCTGCGAGAACAGTATACTTACGGAAAACTGACCTGGGAACATTGCATCACATTTTGAAATATTGTATCTTTTTTTCGTATAAATAGTGTATTTTTATTTTTATTTATTTCAACAGAATAATAGGTAGAATAAATGTAGGTACCTATACTGCTAGTATTTAAGATTATAGAATAATATTCTATATTATTCAAGAGTGTATGACCTGAGTCATAATAATGGTTGTGTAAAATTTTAATTCAATGATAAATCGTTAGGTACGTCATATGAAAAACGATTCAAAGCAAAAACGGTGTGCAGTCATCTTACATAGTTACATTACTAAGTGACTACACACTTTTTATGATATTGTTGCTATTAAAGAAATTAATTTTACTATTAGTTATACCTACACTAATACAATAGGTTAAATTAACTTTTGCCGTTGACAATTGCATTTTAAAATGTATTTGTGTGTACTGTGTATAAAATATAATTAATATACTTTCAAGTTCCCACGAATAATAATTTTAAATTATAACAAAATAACCAAAATTGTTATTATATGTTTAAATATCAAATTTTGTCTAAATTTGAACTTAAAATATCAGTTAAATAGAACAGACTGTGTTCATATACGCTCATATTGACTGTATTTGTTTTATATATCTATACTCCATAGGTATTATGTATTTATGTTGTTTATATAATTGAACATATTGCCATTGATTAAATATACTTAAGTATGTTTAACTCGTTTAAGTATATTTAATCAATGATATTACTGTCTATTTATTAAAGACACTCATTTGAACAATGAAATGTAAAGTGTCGAATGTTATTAGTAGAATAATGATAAGGCCGTTTGCTTTTAATTGTACCTGCAGATAGCTGCTTATAGAATATGTTCAGAATAATTAATATTAATGGAAAATAATGTATCGACAGATTGAATTTGCAACGGGGCCCATCCATAGCCGCAAATTGGGGGAGGCTTGGGGGTGCTAAGCCCACCAAACTTAGCCGTAGCCCCCCCCCCCCCCAAAAAAAAACCTAGGACATACAATTTAATATATTAAAATGGTCTGCTTGCCTTAATATATTCATCCCCCCCCAAGCCAATAGGGTAGATGGTATTTTGCGCCAATTTATTACTTGTAATTTGCGCCAACCTACATTTAAGAATGGAATTTGCGCCATGACGGAAAACGAAATGGAGTATGTAATCTGCGCCACACTTTTAATTTTAATTGTTGGAATTTACCAGCAGATAAATTTACTGGCATCGCATCGAAAATACGATAATACCAACATGTGCTGGATATAATATTATTGTTGTGTTCTACTAATAATAAGTAGAGAAGAGCTCGTTACGTCTAATCTAATAAAAATTATCAACTGTCAAAATATCGAACAATATTGAAAAACAGTATATTCAAGCCAAACGAGTTAAACAGTTAAAGTTAAGTTTAAATTTAATCACAAATGTACAATTATTAAGAACATAATATTATTAAATATTTTCGCCATATATCAGTTCATTTTTAATTAAAATCAATTAGGTTATGCTCATATATTGGTTATTTCCTGTTCAATAATATTTATGATTAAGTTGATTGAAAATGTTCATATAACTTTTAACTTAACCGAGTTAAAAAAAAATTGGGTTAACTGTTAACTTTAAACATTTTAAAATGTTTTCTATCAACTTACTTAACTCAGTTAAAATTATCATTAACTTGTCCAGGTTTGAGTATATCATGGTATTTATAATAGTCCGATATTAATCACAAAGATATTAGAAATAT